CTCTGTAAGATTAGCAACAAGGACTAAGTTGTCCTATGTGTCCGGCACACAGCGTTTTTCAGGCATTGCTGTTCACGTGTGAACATCAACTGTTCTTTGAGACTGGACACTTGATCATCTTGAGTCTGAGGATAACAGTGAACATGAGAGTAAAGTGTTCTTGCTATTTTGTAACACGTGGGCAGGTTCTTAGAAAACTAAAATTATTCGCTGCAACCTATTTGCTAGAAGTAGATAATCTCTGTATCGATAGAAATGCCTGGTGTACTCTGAAAGGTAAATAGAGGTCTGTTGTCTTAATCCAGAAACTAGAAAATGACTGTAGGCTAGAAAGCATGCAAAAGAAACTAGCATGTGCCACTTGAACCCAGATGTTGATTTCTTTGCTAAGTAGTTAGTATGGCTATATTTTCCTCGTGTTGTAAGCAGCGTCACAAATGTCTACTTTGCCTTGCATGCTTTGAGAGCTGTTAAATCACTGCTGCTGCCAGGTGCTCTTGTAGTAAAACAAGCTTGAAATAAATACTTTAACTCGTTTGAAAATTGATCACTTCATAAGGCACAGATGTCTTACTGTCTTAAGGTTTTGATTGCACGTGCTGAATCTGTACTAGTTTAAAGTCCATTTTGATGCCAGGTGGGTTTCCAGCCCAGGCTGGCAGTTTCCTTGTATCTTGCAGACCAGATGCTGTCAGAGACATACTTCTTAGGGTCCAAACCTAAGAAAATAATCCATAGTATGCAACACAAGTTAGCACACTGATTTTTGAAGTCACTTTCTCACAGTTTAGGTTGCAGTTCATATTACTTAATCCAGTCTAACTGGACTGCCATTGAAGGAAATGGACCTGCTTCGTCTACTCTCTTTTGTGCCCCGCTTTCTCACTACAGATGTAATATGTAGCCAGGGCAAGTCAGGCCAGTTTCTTGACTCTACCAAAAAAAAAAAAAAAAAGACTTAAGTGTTAGGTAGTGGTGCAGTTCCTAAAAGGAATTAATATATGCCTTTGCATGTTGAGACTACTTCAGGTTAAGACTTTCTGATTACCTACTTAGATGTTGTTTTGTGGAGGTACTTTCCTTCTCTTTCCTTTGAATCTTACATGGCAGTAGCAATCTATTCTGTATCTTCTTGTTACCTATGGAGAGAAATGCACTAATAATACCATAAATAACATAATGTGGAATCAGTCTGTGCCTCTCTATTGAGATCAAGATTTAGCTCTGCCACTTCCTGCCTGCATATTTCTGGATGTTTTTGAGCTCTTAGGCCAGATACTGTCTGTTCTGTTACATCACATTTTTTCTGTCTGATTATACCCTAAGATATCTAGAGATTATGAATTGGGTAGACAAACCTTTGCACGACTAGTCTGCCTCCCTCACCTTCCTGCAAGCTTTGTTTCGCTAGTAAGAGATCTTCATGTGTATCCTTAATGAAACAAATTGCAAGGCTGGCAGTGGACTCGGTGTACCGGAAAGTCAGTCAGTTCTCTGGGTATTTATCACCGTTGTCTTAAGCTATGCCTTTGGCTCTCGTGTGAGTGTATGGGCCGTTATTTTCATGTACTCTATGAGCTGTCTGTCCCAGCCTTGTCAGTTTTTGGACTGGTCATAGGTAGAGCTCTTCTACAGTGGGCTTTAGGTTATGTTATTGTATGCAAAAGACTGTGAAATGGATTGCAGCTGTTGCTAGATATACACAAAGTCTTACTGATCTTTATGGTCTTTTGAGGCTGTTTGTGTTTCGATCCTGTATTTGAAAACTTCTGCCTCCTGGCAATTGACTAAAAATGCCATTTTCATAGTTGACCAGACAACTGAAAGTTTTTCTAGTTTTTGTTGTTTATCTACTACTGGCCGAAGAAGACTTTGAAGTTTGGTGTTTGGAAGAGCCTTACAAAAAGAAAAAAACTCATACCAGAATATTGCATTGTTGGTATATTGCAGCTTAACAATTTTAGATTGTAGCTGGTAGTATTCTTTGTTGAGGAATCTTCTGTTGTGGATTCTCTAAGATTAAAAATCCTAACAAGTTAGTCTTACATTGAAACAACAGTTTACGTTTTTTGATGTAAAGAACTAATCCAGTTGGGATTACCTCACAACCATTCGGTTTTGGCTTTGGTTTTTTTATGTAGCTGTTGATTTGTTCTGTTTTGAGACATTAATAAAAAGAATTAAAACCACTGAGTCTTCATGACATTTTACTTCCTAGTCATGGGTGGCACAGGCCAAGGAACTCGGGTAGCTTGTACCTGGATACTCCTGCTGGATATGAGCAAGTAAGCCTTAAAGCTGGAATTACTTCTCATTTATGAGGAGGGGAAATTTAAAAAAGAAGGAGGTCTTCAGAGAAGTAGATTCATATTTTGTTGTGAAGAAAGATAAGCAAATCTTTGTCTCCCAAAACAAGATTTGCACTGCCCCTTTGTAGTGTTATATCTGAAATAATCTAAATGGGTCTTTCTGAGAAAAATACTCTGTGGTGGTTTGAAAAATGAATTAATTCTTCACATTTAGACACTTACTGATCACTTTCCAGGTGGTGTGAGAGGCTTAATATGCAGTGGTTTCAAGAAAGGTGAAGTGGGGATTTTTGCTGTGGGACTCGCCCTGTGCTGGAAGCTGTGTCTGCTGAAGAGCAGAAGCTCTTTCCCCAGCTCCGCTCAGTCACAGAACCGGCCTTTGCGCCGCGTGGGCACGTTTTCCTCAGCAGCTGTTTCCCAGTTTGCAGATGGGAGGCTGCTGCGTGCTGCCGTTATGGCTGTGTTGTAGGTACAGGGTTTGTGCTGGCTCATGTTCTTCCCAGACACTTTTGTTTCCAGTTCTGTTCGTTCATCATTAAGGAGATTTTTTTTTCTTTTTTGTTTGTTTTTTTGACAGCAGGCTAACTTGTGAATTACTGTTCATGTTTGTTTACTCCTTCCTCACTGTCACGTTATTAGTGAGAGTGTTTTCTGGATGTAGTGGTTGAACAGCGGCCTATTAAAGGCATCCTAAGAGGCATCTTAAGATGTCTGTTAAAACTATTTTAAACTGTCTTTTTTCTTTTTAATTGCTTTCTTCATTTCCTTCATCTCCCCTCTAATTTGAGGGTCTCTCCTCCTGTAACTTCCCGTGTTCAGCAGTATTTAATTCTTAAGCTAACCACTGAGTATTGCAAGGTTTGTTTTTTGGTGGTTTTTTTTGGGGGGGTGGTGTCTACTGACACACAACTCTAAATTCATCATTTTAAATGGAGGACGATTTGGACAAAGTTTTAGTCTTCAGATTCTTCCTTCACTTCTGAATCTTCAGAAATACCAGTCATGCAGAAGAGTAACAGTGATGCAGATGAGAGATCAGTCCTTAGTATGTGTTGCAAAGCATGACTTCTAACGTGGGATTTACCTTAATGAAGAATAGGTTAATTGATTTAAATAGTTTAAAACATAGTTCTTTAGTGGAAATTTTCATTCTGTCTCTGGTGCTTTGCAGTAGTGAAGAATGTAGAAATAGAGATACAAAATCTCTGTTGTGGTATACCTGCATTCTTGCAAACCTCATACCGTATTTTCAGAATTCTTAAGTCATGATCTTATCTGTGATAACAGTTGTGAAGCTGTAGAAACTCTGAGTACTGGAGTTTGGCAGTTTGGGTATGGTATCGTGTGAAACGACTTGAACAGATTTCTAATGCTGATGAGCTTTTCTGACTTGCATGCTGTTTAACTGTAGTCTTTTTCCATCAATATTTGCACCAAGTCATCTTACCAACCTCTCTAGAATTCACTGTAATTGACATTTCTTGTTAAATGCAGTTGCTGAGATAGTGAGTAGTATTTTAAGTCATTGTCTAGATCTGAACTTTTTTAAAATGCAGTACAATATTTCCTACAGAGCATCCATGAAACAACCTTTCTGGCAGAAGTAGTCCTGAAATGTTCCCATACTTAAGATTAAAAAACCCCTCCTTTACTAGGTATTCTCAGGTTGCAAATATTAAGCCTTTACAGCCTTACTTGTGTGTAGCTACGTCACACAGTGGCTTAGCTTTTAGCCATAAAGTTTATAAGTTATTTTTGTTTTAACTACCATAGATTAAATACACAGATCAAGGTGCATGCTGCTTTTGCAGACATAAGAACTTGTTTTCTTGGGCAAAGTGTGTGTAATACTCTTGTATCTATATATCCCCAAAAGTAATCTTTCTTTGCTTGGTTACTGTGGTGATTTACATGGGCTCTTAAGATGTGAATTTGGTTTTTCGTCCTAGTGTTTTTGCACAGCTTAATGGCCAGAAGGGTTACTTTATTTTCTGACAGTGTTCACTGTGGGAAGATACTGGCTGTCCAGTCAAGTTCAATGGGGTTTTGCAGTTCTATGCTGGGAATGACTGGATATGGAAGAAAAAAAACCCAAACCCACAAAATACCAACAGCAGCAAACAAACAAACACAAAACTCAACCAAAACAAAACAGCCCCCAAACAAACAAAACGCCCAAAACAAAGAGTAAACATTTTTTGGAAACCACACTACTTCACACAGAATCACAGAACGTTAGGGATTGGAAGGGACCTCAGAAGATAATCCAAAAGTGGCAAGATTTCATTGAAAGTTAAAGATAGTCCTTTCCACTATCTTTAGTAGGATTTTTTTCCACTATCTTTAGGGATCTTTTTTTTAAATATAATGGTTTTCCTATCCTTCCTTGTCAAATTTATCAGGTTGGGAGATCAATACATCTGATACACCCAGTGATCTTTCAACACAGACTCTTGTAGGAGAGTGAAGTAGAACGGTCTTCTCTTGTTTAGACTTTGTAAGCTTTAGAAATTACTTTTATCATGACAAATTGGATTGTTTTCAGTAATGACAGTGGGAATTTTGCTGGAACATAGAAAGTGAAGTTTTGCTAGTTACTTGAAATACGAAAGTGGAAACTAATGGACAAGATTTTTCTCCAAAACAGTACTGATTGCTCTGACCTCATATGAAATTGGTTTTGTTTTTCAGATTTTGGATCACTCTTTGATCTGGAACATGACTTGCCAGATGAACTGATCAGCTCCACAGAACTGGGACTCGCCAATGGTGGTGACATTAATCAGCTGCAGACCAGCCTTGGCCTGGCACAAGATGCTGCCTCTAAACACAAGCAGCTGTCTGAACTTTTACGGGCTGGCAGCACCCCAAATCTCAATATGGGGGTTGGTGGCCCTGGCCAGGGCATGGCCAGTCAAACCCAACAAAATAGTCCTGGAATGGGAATGTTAAACAGCATGGTGAAAAGCCCCATGGCACAGGCTGGGTTGACTTCTCCCAGTATGGCAATGGGTGCAAGTGGACCAAACCAGGGTCCTTCAGCCCAATCTGCAGCCGGAATGATGCCGACAGTGAACAATCCAGTTAACCAGCCTGGCATGGGAGTGAACACAGGGATGAATGCTGGCATGAATCCTGGGATGTTGGCAGCAGGCAACGGACAGGGAATGATGCAGGGGCAAGTCATGAACGGTTCCATTGGCGCAGGCAGAGGGCGACCTAATATGCCGTACCCAAACCCAGGAATGGGCAGTGCGGGTAACTTGTTGGCTGAGACGCTGCAGCAAGGCTCTCCACAGATGGGAGGACAGGCTGGGCTGAGAGGGCCACAGCCTGGAGCCATGAACAAGGTAAGACAAGCTAAATTTGACTTTATTGCCCTCCGTGTGGTTGTTGACTTTGTTTCGTAAGATTTATTCCTCTGCAGTATGGGTTCTATAGAATAGGATTTTTTTTTGTTCTTTTAAGAGTCCTGAATCATGTGGTAAATAGTTTATACGCTGCTAAAGTGGAATTTGTGGCAGTCCTGGGAGGCAAAAATTGAGTCTTGCACAACAAGCGAGACTATTGCTAGATTAAAAAGCCCGTTTCAGAAATCTTGTGGCAGTATGGATTATCAACAACACCAAAAAGTAACTTGATTGTATTTTATTCTGTTTTATGCTTTGTCCATAAATGTATTTTCCCATCTAATACGATGCTGGTATTGTGAGCAAGATGGGAATCCATCAGGACCTTTTAGATGTTGTGGTGCTTTTTTCTGTGTCTATTTCAGTCCTAATGAGAGTATTTGTCTGAGACCAGCTGAGAGTTCATGGTGTAACAGATGCTAAGAGGCACATACAAATTTGAATGAACTGATACAAAGTATGTGCTAAGCCATACATTGACCTTGTTAAGGAGTAGGTATTTGAGTTAATGGTAGAGAATGAATGTTTATGTAAACACCTGAAGACAAATGTCGGGCTCTTAAAAGACTGTTAATTCAACTCAGTTCTAGTTTTTAAAATTACAAAGACTTTGTCTATAGGACAGTAAACCAGAAAGCTGAAAATAAATATTTTTTTTTTAATACTGGAAAGGGAGATAAATGTGCTTTTGTAATTCAGGAGATTGGAAGAAAGTTGTCTTGAGTCACTGAAAAGACAGAAGTTCTAATGGTTTAAGTGACAAGGAGATATCTAAATTTAATTTTTGTCACACAAAACTTGTTTTTTTAGAGTAGGGAGCCTCTTGAGTATTTCTTAAGTTTTTAGTGTTTTGATCAAAGCCTAAGAAATACTTAAAGGTTTCAGTGCACTGTAAGGGTGGGTATTTTGTGTTTCTTGGCTAATGAGAGGAAAGTTTTCCAAGGTGCTTTGCAACACACCTAAATCTTGGAATGCTTAAGTCAGTCCACTTGGAGGACATGTAATGATAAGTAACATAGTTTGTAAATGTATTTGAAACATAAATGAAAATTATGCTTTGTATTAATGGGTTTGCTATGCTTGTATTATGCGTGAAGTAAAATTATTTTATTGGCTCATGGCTTATTAATTATGAAGTTCTTTGATCTTAGCTGTTTGCTTATGCTCAGTGTGCTGCTAACAATGTTTCTGATATATATAGGTCTAGTAATGAGTTGATTTTCTTGTTTGGACATTTCAGATATTTTCACCTGATAGGAAAGTTGTTGAAAAGCTCGATTGCCGCAGTAGAGCATTTGTCTGCAGTTGTCCTGGTTTAGTGGGACAGATTTTAGAGTCGGTTTTCTATTGAGGAAAACTGAAATTTTGTGAGGACTGCAGCACACTATTTTATTGCATCAAAGTTGATAAAAACTTTGTTACAGGTTTCAGCTAATGCTGGTGTGCACGGTGCCACAGTCCTCAGGGTCTTCCAGATCTTGAGATAAACATGTGCAGAGGCTGGGGGGAGCAGAAACCTGGAGGAGTAAACCACAAGGTGACCGCAGGCTGACCAATGAATACTATTCATACCATAAACATCACTTTCACTTTAAACTGGGGAGTTTGCTGAGGACGGTCCCTCCTTCTTCCACTTTATCTTCCTCTCCTTCCTGCTCCTTCTTCCATGGCTGACATCTCAAGAGGAACTTGGTTACCATCCTAGCCCTGAGGCCTACTCCCCCGCAATATTGGCTGAGTA